CCTTAGAAATTGTTAAATAGATTTAATTGTGATTCTTTGGGGGCAATTTTAAGCATTTCAGTGTTTTTCTAATCCTAGAAATTATTGGTTTAATTCTGATTATTTTGGGGCTATTTTTGGTGTCTCTTTTAACTCTAGAAATTCATAAATGTATTTGATTCTGACTATTTTAGGGACATTTGGGGCATTTTGGGGTCTTTTTAACCCTAGAAAAGCCCTATTGATGCTTCCAGTGTCATTTTTTGGGCACAAACCTTGATTTTTACCATTTAGTTCATTTAATTATATTTATTTTGGGGCGATTTTGGGCACCTTGGGTCTTTTTTTAATCCTAGAACGTATTTAATTGATACAATTCCTGTTATTTGGGGGCAATTCTGGGCATTCTAGGGTCTTTTTAAGCCTAAAAAACATATAGTTTATTTAATTATATTTATTTTGGGGCGATTTGGGGCATCTTGGGGTTTTTTTTAACCCTAGAAAAGTCCTCTTGATGGTTCCAATGTCTTTTTTTTGGGGCGCAAACTTTGATTTTTAACGTTTAATTCATTTAATTATATTTATTTTGGGGCGATTTTGGGTAGAGTCTTTTTAACCCTTAAAAATATATAGTTTATATAATTATATTTATTTTGGGGTGATTTTGGGATATTCTTTAACTTTAGAAATTATTAAATTGATTTAATTCTGATTATTTTTAGGGCGATTTGGGGCGTTCTGGGGTGTTTTTAAGGCGGGAAAAGCCCTTTTAGTGTCGTTTTTCTCCCTCCCTCCCCTTATATTTGACGTTTAATTAATTTAAGTTAATTTTGACCGTTTCTGGGTGTTTTTTCCCCGCTCAGACACCTCGGACCTGCAGTTCCGCCCCACCAAGGACCGTTATGGGGGGCAGCCCCTCTTCTCCCAGCGCTTCCCCTCCCTCTGGGCCGGCGCCCGCGGCACCCACGGCGTCACCCGCGGAAAAGTCTGCTTCGAGGCCAAGGTGACCCCCCCGCGCCCCAAAACCCACCCCTGCCTCCCCCCAAACCTGCCATCCCCCAAAACTGACC